CAGATAAAGGTAATTCTGAAGACTGTGTTGATGGAAAAAAAAAGTTGCAGAGTATTAAGGCGAGAAGGCTGAGTTAGAACAGCCCTTTTGGCCCGGTGTGAATGTTCTTAGTGTTACACGAGCGTTGAATGACTTACACCATTTCAGTCAACTTTGCTTTTAAATACTTTGCAAGTAAACTGTGTGATCGTGGTGTTACATTAAATTCCATGTCATATGCATTATTTATTACCAGTCCCTACAGCTAAATGCTACAACTCTGAATCAGTTGTTTGCTTATTTATGTCTTGCCAGTGCTCTGTGGTGTGGATGTGTGCCAGTGTATTTGAATGTGACCGGAATGAAGATTTATTTTAGATGAGCCAATGTGAACTTAAGCAGGGAGTCAGGAAACAAAGCCATTCTTCGCCAGATCCTGACATGCTTGGTCTGTTTTGCATGGGAACACTGTGTCCTCCTTGGTCAGGAATGAGGAAGGAAACTTTGCCACTATCCGGTATCTGTGGAGGCAAAAGGGTCTGTGTAAAAGTAACAATAGTGGGGACTCACTGTGCTGGGACGGCTTCTGCAGCTGAGTCGAACCTTTATTGGCACGGGGTGCACGATGAGTCCAAAATAACAACTTATTGCAAAGTGACTTTTTCAACTTAAAGTAGCGATCGGCTAAAATATCTTGTGGGAGTTTTCTCCAGTTATTCTCTTCCATACTTAAAGAATTAAAAAAAAAATCCTCCTTGTCATCAGTAGCAACTGGTTCTGTGTGGTACATGAAGTGTGGATCAGAGACAGTGTTCGGAGTCACCCGCAGGTATCGGTGTTCAGCTCTCGGTGGTGCACTGGGTGTGTTGCAGATGGGGTGTGTGTGTTGGGGAGGTTGTAGCAAAGGCTGAGCAGTTGTTGCGCAAGCAGTTTCCCGTTGCGTGGCTTGGAGTCTGCTTTTGCTGTCGGTGACTTGCTGTGCCCTCTGCTCACCCTGACGTGATCATCATCGCTGGATATAATTTGTGTAACAGCTAAACTGAAATTAATTTTCTCCCTGATCTTCTGAAACGTCGTTTTGTATTTTAGTAGACCTTGATTATAGCAGACCAGTTTCATTAAAGAACCAAACACACAAAGTACTTCTAACTCAGTCTAATACATCGCACCACCTTAATTCACCTAAAGGTTGTTTGAGGATTGTGGTAGGATTTATTTCAACTAGTCAGACACATTTAAGAATTAAGTCTGTATATTTTCATTACATCACTCTGATGTGTGCTGTTAGTTTGAATTTTATTTTACAGTTGTACTGCAGGTATTCATTCCCCTTAAAACTCACCTTCTCCCTGCAGTCTGGTGGTTCAGTAGGTGCTGATTTGTGGCTGAATGCTGCCTCTGCATTGGACTCTGCTATTTGCTACTGAGAGGAAGTGTGTTATAGGCAAACGTCTGAAATGCATTTATTAATGCGTATTCTTCATCTTGCATTATTGTTATTTTATAAAAAGTTATTTTACTAGGTTTCTTAAGGTGTGTTGACATTCTGACATCCCTTTGGCTAATGATTACCAAAAACGCTACAAGCTTTTTCCATATATAAAGCAGGTACACCATATACAGGGAAGCTTATAAACCCCATGTTTTTATTAATGAAATGAAATTTAAAGAGACAGCGTTATCTAGTTAGTGATACTTGCTCTTGTTAACATGTCAGATGTAATGAAAAAAAATCAAGGTGTTCTTTGTCCAAGACAAGAGACTGGTACTAGAAATGTTGATCTGGCTTTTCAATTACCCTGGCTTCTGCTGTGCAGCCAGTGACACTCACAAATTCAGTAGTTTTATATCTCTGATGCAGGAAGAGTCTGCTGGCTTATTTTTTAAAAGTAAAGGCACCTAAAAATTCTGGCAGTTGGTAGTGTTGTGAAACTTGCCTAACATTGACGTTATTTTGATTTCTAAGTTTCATCTTACAGGATTGTACAGCCTTAAAATACCAGTTGTTTTGAGGAGTTGAAGTGTAAGCCTGAAGCAGGACTACAGAAGGACTACTTCATTTTGGTAGTCTTATTTATATTATAAAGCAATGAGTCGAGGTGGGTAATATGATGAAAATTTGTGCCGAGCATCATTCAACTCGAGACTTAAGTTGTTGGTCACTGCATGCACCTTGTTTAATGTAGAACTTCTTCGTTAATCACCAGCAGAGCTCAGCTGATGCTGTTCCCATTAAGGAAATCTTGGACGAGAGATTAAGTGAAGTTTGTGTGCTTGCATGCAGAGCTGGCCGGAGCTGGTGACACCAACTGCGGCCCCGAGCTGTGTGTGGCTGTGCCAGCGCAGGGTGCGGATGTGGTGCCGTGGTTCCCTGGGTCGCTGCTCAGGCTCTTGGGGCTGGCAGTGGTTGTGTGACAGAGCTGTGCCAGCACTGCTGCAAACACACATAGCTCAGGCTGTAATATTAGTAGAATATAATATTCAGCTGGAATATCAGAAATCATCGTAAGCAGCATCTGCTGTGTGTTTGCATTGCGGTGCTTTCTGCATCAGCTGTTCTGGTCAGGTGTGGTACAGGGGGATTTGACAGCTTGTGAGCTTTCACGAGTGCAGAAGGTCAGGGCATTAACCAGCCCAGCCAAGTGTTACTGCGCAACGTTGCTTGAATCACTTTGCTATTGTGCATGCAAATAAATTGTGTGAAGCGTAGCTATAGCTTCCTGTTCAGCTGCGGTGTTCACATCTGCGGCAGCACCCAAAGTGCTGTGAGAATTAATTCTCGCACTTCAGCAAATGCATGGGCAGTCCCGCTATGTTTGTGATGGACCGGCTCTCTGTATTTCTAAATTAATAGCAAGATCCAACAGCTGTTGGACGTTCTTCCATTTTCCTCTTGCTATGGGAAGTAATCAATTAGTGGTATGTTGATCGTGTGTGAAATGAATATAATAATTATATGCATTTTAATTTAATATCTTATTTAATATATTTTTGTTTCTGCTGTCCAAAAGTCTGAGATATCCAGTAGTTTTAGCCTGTGTCTTGAAGACATGAAAAATCAAACACACTGCTTTCTTTTCTGTAAACGTGGTGAAAAACCACTTTAGAACTGTAAAGCTTAATTCCCTACTCATGCACTAATTGTGTCAGCATGTGGATGAATAGGCAAGATTAATCTTTCAAGATGTTTTTCAATGGTGATCTCTTCCCAGACAAAGTAGAAGTGGATATTATGCAAGGGTTCACTTCATTTTTGGTTGCCAAAAGCAGAAGTGTCTCGAAGGAGCAGGGTACCCAGCCTGCTTGTGCTGGAGCATTTCTGGAGGAACATCCATGCTGTGCTGCCTTGTGCCCTTTGACTTGTGGTTTAGTTACAGCTGCTCTGTGCAGCAGGCAGTGCTGCCAAGGCAGGTCTGGAATTCAGAAACACCTTTCTATAGATTTTGTATTAAATAGGAGAGGTTGGATAGCTTTGTTCCGTCCTGAACAGCAAATTGTAAGCTTAGTGTAACATTGTGTATGAAGTCTATTTAGGACAGTGTTTAGAAGAGTGTTTGGGTTTTTTTCCCCCTAGTTTGTGGTTTGTAGTTTCTAATTTCTGACAAAACAAACAAAAACCCCAAACCAAAACAAAAACCCAAACAAACAAACTAAAAAAACCCAGACCCCAACCATGTTTCTTTAAGAAAATGAGTTGGACTCCTGGTAAATTCAAGGTATACAACGATTCTTGCCAGGCCCCACTCCCAGACAAGCCATTAAGCTACACATGCCAAAAATGAATCCCTGACCTCCAGATCAGTATGGAGCAATGTGGTGTTGGGTGCAGGGCACTGCTTGTGACCGAGACGAAACCTGGGCTGTGCTGCAGGTTATTCAGCAGCCCCTGTTAAAATGAGCTGCTCTGCAGCCGCTGTGGAGGGGGCAGGATGCCTTAATCCAGTCCTCAAATAGGTTACTACAGCTTTTGTAACCTGCAGGAGTTTATGGAAGGCAAAGGGTTAAGTATTGAAAAGTGTTAATGAAAGGCAAAGGGTGATTTTGGTGCTTGGCAAATAGCACCTGCTCAGCTTAGGGTCCAGATGCCGTTCTGCTGTGGTCTGAGATGGTCTGGTCTGAAGGGTTTAGGTGTCTAGAGCTGTAAAACTTACTATGGGGTCTAACCACGTTCTCCTGGTTCAGGCGCCGAGCATAGTTTTGCATCAATAGTTGCAAATAATGCAATTGGAGAGTGGTTTTTGATACGGTGGATACGAATGTGTGAAGTCTTGGTGAAAATCTAGTGATGTACGTGCTGAGTATCAGCCCTTTGGTAGGTGACTTTCTGCATAGAAAACTTTAATTGTCCTAACAATTACGAATTACTTCTGGTAGTTTACAAAATCAAAACTGTCACCCCTTAAGTGCCACTTAGATGTGAGAGGGAAACTTCCTCAGTTTTTGTCTGGCTTTTCTGTTGGGAGGAGCGTGGGCGTCAGCTTGTTTTAGGAAAGAGATATTTCAGGAAGTGACATTTTGGAGCTGGAACAAAAATGAAGTCTTGGTGGCTTGGAAGAAAACCAAATATCTCCTAGCGTATTTCAAAAATATGTAAGGATTGAGAGCATTAAAATATGTAAACAACATTTTGGAGAGTCAACAGAGCATCACAGTATAGTACGGTGAGGATGACAACTTCTACACAAACAGTTGACTCTGGAGTATGTGAGTGTCTGGGTAGCCAGACAGAATTAAGCGTGATCAATTCTTCTGAAGTGCAGTTTTGACTGCTGGCAAGATGCAGCGTTCCTTAGGGCGGATCAGTTTGGCAGCTTTTTTGTCTTAAAAAGGGGGATGATGTTGGTTTTGCTACATCAATATTAAAATAAGTGAAAACCATCCATGGTGAAAAGATAAAGGATGGAAATTTGTTAGAGATGTTCATTTCTAGGGCATAGTATAAAGCTCACTCTTTGTGTATGACAGTAGGATTGAAGGTTTAGGAATCTCGTAGACTAACATTGATTTGTGCTGTTTTCCAGTGCCCAAGATGCATGCAGTGTGATACAAAATTTGACTTCATAACCAGAAAGGTAAGAGAAATCGCTGAACTGCAAAGCATTAACTGTTGTGAAATACAAATACGGACTTCTGTTGCTTTAAGATGTGCAAGATTTCAGTAGAGTAGCGTGCAACATCTGGTGGAACTTAAAGCAGCTTTTCTTTCTGTTCTGCCTTTTCTGAGGAGAAGTCCTCTTTGTTTTAGTTCTGTTTCTTGAAATTCCTCTTGTTGCTCCATGTGTAACACGTAGTTAGGGTTTCTCCACATTACTGGGTACCCACGGGATTTACATTCAAAGGAAGAGTTAGAGGGACTTGTGCTGGAGTGGGCTGCTCACATCACTTCTGACAGAGAAAGCAACTCAGCTGATTCGGTTGTGTTTTGGGAGTCGAAAATAGCTGTGGAAATGTAAGCAAATACTGTCAGGAGTAGTGAATTACAACCTTGCATTAAGGAACTGTGCTGGTGAAATGCAGAGAGCCAAATCCCTCATTCTTCTGGTCTAAAAGTAAAACAGGATTTATCTCAGGTTTGGAAAAGGGAATTTCTATTAAAGTAGAAAGTATAAACCATGGTCTGAAGAGAAAACACTAACACTAGAGTTAAATGGTGTTCATGACATGCAATTAAGCAGGTCGGTGTGGAATGCATGCTGGTGTACGGGCTATTACTGCCACAAAACATTCTGCTGATACGGGGGTTTCTGCGTGGAGAGGGAAAGCAGACTCCCAGAAAAGGCCAGCAGTGAGTTTTAGCAGGGAATGTAATTCCTTTGGGTAACGACATTGACCCTCTTGACGTGTGCTTGTGAAAGCGAGGAAAGATGTGGCAGTGTGACTTGCAGTGCCCGAAACTGCAGCGTATCAGTTCCGTGTATCAAAGTGTCCAGACTTGCTTCAGGCCCCAGACGTGTCCCTGTCCTGACAGGAGAGGTGGCACCAGGAGGCCCCGCTGGCCCCGTCACACCCAGGAGGGAGCTGCAGCACGGGCCGCTCGCTGCGGGGTTAGGAGCTGTGAAACACATTGCAAGACTAGTTCTGGTTTTGCAACTTGATTGCATTTGCACTGTGCTGCCTGATACTGCTGGTAGTGAAACAGCTTTAAGTATGAAGATTTTTATCTTTTTCCTTGGGAAAAACTTGAGAATCAGTTTTAAGGGAGAAGAATAGGATCTGCAGTTGAAGTTTCCCAATATCTTTGTTTGGAAGTGGGAAGGGACCTAGAAACCACTCTTCTCTTGTGTTTTATTGACGCTAAGATGAAGGGTTCCTGGGGACCGGAGAAGCCCTTTCCATGTCTTGCACATTTAGGGAGCTCTGCAAGGGCTCACAGTGCTGCTGTTCGTGCTGGGCTCAGTCCTTTCTGTTCAGTCTTCAGTTTTCTCTCTACCACTCAATGAGTTGAATTTTACCTGTCCCTCAGCCTGTGTGTTTCACACTGGAGAACCTGTGCTGCTGCTTGGGGAGGAGGATATTTAATGTAGTAACTGGATCAAATTATTCCCCAGTAGTTTCCTGCGTAAGTAAATAAACAAACAAATGTTTTCTCACGCTCAGCATCACTGCCGAAGGTGTGGGAAGTGCTTCTGTGACAAGTGCTGCAGTAAAAAAGTGCCTCTGCCTCGCATGTGCTTTGTGGACCCCGTGCGCCAGTGTGCTGAGTGTGCCCTCATCTCGCAGAAAGAAACTGAGTTCTATGACAGACAGCTTAAAGTGCTCATGAATGGTAAGGGCTGAGTACATGTGTATATGTGTGTATATATATATATGTATGTATGTGCTGGGATTAATCTCATGTTTATTCAAATGCTGTTAAACAAATCTGATAAACAGCCAGAGAAATGCCTCTTGTCAAACAGGCTGCAGCTTTGTCTCCTTTAAATCCTGGTTTGTTGTCATGCTTCTGGTTTGCCAGTTAATGATTCTGTGTTACCAGTTTATTTAGAGAGAAGTTTCCACTTTTTAGTCGATGTGCACAAAGAGTGGTTTAACTGACGACAAAGGAATTCTGAATGCCTCTGAGAACAGGAGTGTGTGCAGTTGGCATTTCTATTGAAGTAATGCACCTTTTAGCCATATCCCTGTTAAATAGGGATGAAAAATACAATAGAGAGTATGTTAATATTTTCTAACAAGATACTGTGCTCCTTTCAAGCTTCATCTGTGAGCTTTGATCTTGCCCAGGGCCTACAGCTACGGCTGATGGCAGATCATCAGGAGTGGTCAATTTTGCATGGCATTAGAACTACATGCAAGGCAGTGATTCATGTTCCAATTACAGTAAGAAAGCTGAATCTTCAGTTTTTAAAATATTCTGTGATTGCTCGGTGCCTTTTGATGGGCTCTCAGCTCTCCACACGATGGCAATGTGTGTGATTGGTCAGATAAACTAACGTCTGATTAGCGTGGATGTTTCTCGGGGGATTGGGGGTTCAGACAGGAGTATGCCCATCCTGGCAGCATTCAAATCATTCTTCACTCTGCTTTGCAGTAGCTGAGTTGTTAAATAAAGTATTTTAATCTGAAGATGTTTTCTAAAAGCTTGTCCCACCCGTGTTTGTGTTCTGCAATTGAAGTCTGAAGTTGTTGCTGACTTTGTACCTGGCAGCGTTCAAATCATTTTTCACTCTGCTTTGCAGGTCAGGGTGTAGCTGAGTTGTTAAAGTATTTTAAACTGAAGATCTTTTCTAAAAGCTTGTCCCACCCGTGTTTGTGTTCTGCAATTGAAGTCTGAAGTTGTTGCTGACTTTGTAGAGCCGCAGATCTCGGTTGGAGATGGGGGTCGTGGTGTCCGTGGCCCTTTGGCTGCTGTTCCTCCCTGTCTCACCCAGTAGCCGGGGGTCGGTGCCGGGAGGTCAGTGAGGCTGCGTTCAATGGTGAAATAGCGAGGTGCAGCTTTGGAGGCGGCAGGGCTCAAATCATGGGGATGCGTTGCAGACCATTTGGCAGGGCTGTTTATTGCTGTTGGCTTTCATTTCCCAGACCAGCAGTACTGCGGTTAGGTAACGCAGGGAGCAAGTGAAGTGGCTAGGTGTGGAGTCTGCTGTGTTTTGAGTTATGAGTCACCTCGCTGGTGTAGCTGCGATGACTTTCCCCATGTCAGAGGAGCTGTTTTGAGCAGGAAGAAACGTAACACGAAGGCTGAAGTTGGTTGACCTCAAAGGAAGGCTGAGCCAGCTGTCAGTAGGGAAAAAGGCTGTTTATTGAGCACAGAGCTGAAGGTCACATCCTGCTCTTTGATTCCTCTGATGGGCTTTTTTGGAATACTGAGACAACAGGGTGTATTACAGTGACAAGATACGGTCTTTTAATTGCCTGTTTTTGCCATCTCCAAATCTGCTCTCATTCTTCAAATATTCATCTTGGATATCATCTGTATTTCTACAACGTGTGGGAGAAATCCCATAGCAATTGTGAAAGTCCTGTGATTCAGAACATGGTAATTGGAGATCAGCCTTTTATACTTGAGTGTTCTGATGTTAATCAGTTTAACACTTCAGTCTCATAAGTCCCCCAGTTCAGTGTATTAGGGGCAGTAATTAAGTATTAGTTGTTCTTTTTGATACTTGAATGTTTCTTCCTAAATTCAGTGTATTAGGGGCAGTAATTAACTATTAGTGGTTCTTTTTGATACTTGAATGTTTCTTCCTAAATCCTGTATTAAAATACTAAACCATTTCTTCCCAGGTGCTACCTTCTTCGTAACTCTGGGAACATCTGACAAGTCTGAGCTCATGGTTTGTCGACTTTCCAACAATCAGAGGTGAGAAAGACTGATGGAAGTTGCACTTACAGCTGTATTATTACTAATAACCTAAATAAAATAACAGAGAAACGTGCTGTGAGGATACTGGGGAAAGTAATGGGACTGAAAGGATAGGTACAACTTCAAACAGCCCATCCCTGAGAGACTGTGTTCATCTTTCTGCTTTGATTTGGACTTGGTATTGTAGAAAAAACACTGAGAGACTGTGTTCATTTTTCTCCTTTGATTTGGACTTGGTATTGTAGAAAAAACAGGGTTGGTCGGTTGTTTTTTTAAAATGTTTTTCTTCTGTTGTGTAGATACCTGGTTCTGGATGGAGACAGCCACTATGAAATTGAAATTGTGCAGATTTCAACCGTTCAAATACTTACAGAGGGGTTTACTCCTGGAGGTAACTTTTTTCACTGAATACAAATTGACCATGCAGAAAAGACTTTGCGACATAATTCCTGTTCAAGCCAGACGGTGCATTGCCAGGTTACTGGTAGCTCAGGTGTGACTAGGGTCGGTACAGCTGCTCTCAGACTGGAGTGCAGTGTGGAGCCCTGTCCACGTGTATGGGGACTGTGGGGAAAACCTGAGAATTGAAAAATGACCTTAACAGCTCTAATACGAGAGAGCTTCTCGACAAACCTGAGTACAGGTGGTCACTGTCTGCTCTGACCCTCTCTCTTGGCTCAATAGAAACATCTCTTGATTCAGCAGCTCCTGGGAGGGAGCTGTTAGGCTTTGGTAACTCCCTTTTCAGCATCCAGCTGGGATTTCTCTTCTGCTGGTACAAACAGTTGTGAGGAGACTGAAACTGTGTGTTGGGGGGGGAATAACGGGACTATGCTGTCTCAATTTCATTCAAGGTGAAGGGGTGGCCAAATGAAACTGGTAACATCTGACCCAGAGGGCAGCTACTTACTGCCTTCTCTCTTACCAGATCTGAGAGTGTTTCAGGATGAACTTGAATGTGATTGCACTGAAATAAGGACAAACAAGGTCAGGGTCTATAATAATTGTTCTTTAGCAGCACCCCTGTCACTGCTGGAGGTTTCTGATGGGACAGCCTCTCTGTGCACTGCTCGGTCAGTCCAGCACGTTAACCGTGATCAACCGATCTGGGTGCTCAGATCAGCCGGATGTGTTGCAGAGTTGCCTAACGCTGCTGTAATTCCTTGTTCACTGCTCTCTGACTGCTTTGTCTTTCTGCCCGCCTGCTTCCCTTCTCGATGGTAGAGAAAGATCCTCACACTTACACCAGCCTCCTGGAGAGCCAGCCGATCACTGAAGGTATCCAGCGCCGCTGAGCATGACTCACCGCATGCTGCCACGGCCCCCTCCCGTTTCCTCCTCTGCAGCGCTGGTTTTTGTGTGATCGATGGCTGTGCAATTTGAGACAAGTTGTGTTCAGCTCTGATGTGTATCTGTTCCTTCCCATCTGTCTGTTTAATAAACCGAGACTGGATGTTTTGTAACTCTGTGGAGAACTAAAACACTCGAGGCCTTCTTTAGACCCCCTGTGCTACCGTCTGTGTTGGAAGAGAGAAGGGCAGATGAGAAATAGTACCTGTAGTGGTACGCAGTGTTGTACATGGCCTGCCTCAGCAGAGGTGTGCTGAGCTGCACCAGAATCGAGTCACACACCTCTTGTGTGCTCCACAGTTAATAAACTGTTAACTAATGGCTTGATTTTACACGGGTTTAAAATAAATAGAGCATCTTGGTGTGTGTTCTGCCCGACTCAGTAATGTCCTGGAACACCAGACGTGGGCAGTGTCAATAAATCAAACCGGCCAGGGCCGTAGGTGTTTGATCTCCACTGGCTTATTGCGAAGTAGGGCCATAATCTGTCGGTCTGACCAGGTGGATGCAGGGGAGCGAGTGGTGAAGTTGGATTTCGGTTTATCCTACAAGAGAAGAAAATAGCAACTTTTCTAGACACTGCTTGTGGGCTTTGGTCGGGTTGCTCACACCAAGATTGTCTTTGGCTTCTTGGCTGTGACGGTGCTGGCCTCCAGGAGCCCTCTCATGCAGAAAGTGTCCTCTGTGCGTGGTGGAGCTGCTCCTGGGCTTAGTTTGTGATCTGCTGCTTCAGGAAATGAGTGAAGTCTGCACAAAGCATCCGTGTCTGCTCTAAACAGAGCTTTTGTTTAATTTCTGTGTTAGTGGTTCCTCTTAATCTCCATGCAGCTAGAGTGAAAGAGATGCAAACATCTCGCTATGGCACCGTTGTCACAGCAACGTCTGCTGCAGCGGATTTCCCCCAGGAAGTCAATGACGTGGGCGGTTGTCATCCCCTCCAGAGTTGGAGCCTGTTTCCTGCTCTGCCAGACTGGGGATGGAGCAGGGACCCTCTTTGGTGTCTGTTGAACCGGACACCAGGAATTCAGTTTACAGCTGCAGGCTTAGTATGAACCTATGGCATCTGCTTAGACTTGGTAACATTAAAGCACGAGGGTGGTGGTGTTGGTGTGTGTAGCTCGTGGCTGTCGTGGTGGTGCACACAAGTTCTGCTGGAGAGAACTCAACAGTACTTTAGCTGCCTGTTCCATTAATGCCCGTGCTCACCACCTCCTCGCCAGGGCAGTTGCTGCCGCTTTGACTTGAGCGATGAGCTCGTTTTCTTCAGACTTATTAGCCAGAAGTTACTGGGTAAAACGTGCTGCTGTTCAGACGTTATTTCTCTTTGCAGGCGGCAATACTCGTGCCATAGGCATGGTTCTGCAGTACAAGGTACCGGGATCGGAGGAGCTGACGCAGATGAAGTTCACGGCCAGTGAAGACTTCAGCTGTAACCGGAAGCTGTCGGCGAGCTGGCTGGCGGCGATGCACAAGGTAAGCAGGGGAGGCAGAACCTGCAGGAGGCTGAAGAACGGCTCTGCCTGGAGTGCTCAGTAGCTCTAAAGAGAGTGTGCAGCCTTAGGAGTCTGCTCATTTTTATTTAATTCATTGTTTAAAATTATTATTTTTATTGGAGGATTTTAGAGTCTTGTTCTTTCTGGAAGCTGCGGATGGTTGTTATGAACGTGACTTTAGCTTTATGCTCAATGCCTGAGGATGATAGGCAGTACAAAGGGCTTCCCAAAAATGTGTGTTATTAGGTGAAAGGGGGTATTAGACTTTCAAGTTCCTCAGGTTTTTGTTGCTCACTGAAGAATGTGCATTACGAAATACTCTGCCCCTAAACTCAGCAAATTGTCTTTATTGCTTTATGAAGGCTCAAAGACTTTGATTTTTGAGAGCAGGAACAGGTGTGGGCAGGACCTTGTGGAAGACTCCTTCATCCTTATTGACCAGGCACTGCATGGCTCATGAAACTGAAGTTTATTTCATAATTCAGAGTGATGGGAGGGGAGACCAAAGCCAAACCCACGCCAGGTAGTTGTGGTATTCTGCTCATCTGACTGAGAACTCATTTACTGGCTGCCTGCAAACGTGGTGTGTGGCTGCTGGTGCTGTATCGCCACCGAGCTCCTCAGTCACCCTGGCCCAGCACTGAACAGTGCTCAGCACAGCGCGCCCGGACGTGGTGCGGCCACACGAGGACCATTCAGCACTTCCTTACCCTGCTGCTGACTCCTCTGCCACAGGCGGTGCAGCTCCTGCACATATGGTGAGCCCCAGTACCAACAGCTCAGAGATACAACTTGTAACTCTTTCCACGGCGGTTTTGATCAGAAATGGTAATTTCTAACCAAGAATCATCTAAAACCTTCAGTGACCTCAGGCTCTACACTTAGAGTAACCCTGAATTGTCTCAGAAATTACTCTAGTGCCTGCCTGAGTGCTGCTAAATGTCACAGACTGAGGAAAACAGAGGAAGAATTCAGTGCCTTGGGTTTAAAGGAAACGTTGGCGGGGTTAGGAAGGAGATGAGGCGGCTGCGGGTGACTTCAGCTGACACAGTGACATTTGTCTTCGTTTTAGGCGACGAAGCTTCTTTACGAGTCGCGGGACCAGTGAGAGCAGCGCAGCGTTGGCCACCTGAGGGCACCCAGCAGCCTCCACGGAGCCAACCTCCCCTTGCTGACCTGGCGCGTGCTGTCCTGACCCTCTCATTCCAGCGCCGTTCCTCCCTGAGAACTGGCAATTGCAATGTATGTGTGACCCACGAGTATTGACTAGAGTGCAATATGGATCCAAGTAATGCTTTAAACAGCCTCACCTTTCCAGACTCTGTATGTTTTGGTAAAGCCTTTACCGGCACTTAATGACCGTGACCTGCACTACAGCCGATGTACAGCACAACTTTTCTAGTAACACTTCTACGGGCGGTTTGCTGCGGGAAGCAAACAGAGGTGTGTGTCTCTTCTGCAGAGAATAGCTTTTGGGTATAGATCTCAGGTTTTTCCCTCTATCCAAATGTTTAAAATCAGTGTACAAGAAAAAAAATCTGCCTTAGCTATGATTTTATAGAACTCACTTGATTTTTTTAAACATTTCATTTTAACACCTAAGTATTTCACCAAATACCACCAGACTGGACTTACGTGAGCTCGACACTTTCCTTCTGTAATAAATAAGCTTCCAGGATAATTTTTAGTTTTGTATTTTCTTTTTGGTAACCGGCTTTTGTTAATCCAACTGTAACGCTGTCTGAAATTGTATACAACTTAATGTACAAATACGAATAAATTAATTCACTTATTTAAAAAAATGAGCCGATACTTAATTTCACAATATGTAACTGCTTTAATGAGGGATACTGGTCTCTGCTCTCTGAAACTCTGCACTTTATAACGCATCATCCCACTCGAGTGCTCAGCATCAGCTTGCGCGTAAAGGGCCGTGACAGCTTTTCTAGATGTATTAATTAGTGTCATTTAATTGGAATACAGGTGTAAGGAGGCTCCAGAGCTCTTTTAAAGTCATTTTCTGTGCAGCTGCTAAAACCACGAGGAAACGGGAGTGAAGTGACAGAGCACGGCAGGTTTGAGTTACTCTCTTTATGCAGCCCAGGACCCGAGGCACGGCTGTGCTCCCTTCATGAACCACTGCAGGAAGCAGCCTTGCCTTAGCAGTACTTTATTGTGCACATTTACATGGTCTCTGCATTAGTGGATCGTAGGCTCTTGAAATCATCACATTCATGTAGCAAAGTCTTCAACAGTAATACCCTTTCACTTCTCACCACAATATATACAGTTAATGCTAACCTGTGGTAAAAGCAATTACAGCACTGCAGAAATGGATATATAAATTATACACAGAACTTGTACATGAAGAATTAATCAAATTGCATACGGTTAAATGGGAGAAAAATTACAAGAAATATGGCTGAAACTTAGAATGGGAGATTCAAAATATACTTTTGGTATATAAAATCATGTACAATTAAAATTCCAGTGAAGTGCCTTTTTTTTATTTCTTCTAATTCTTTTTTCTCCTTGGAACCCCAGCGCAGTGAAGAGGTTATTGCATAACTTGCCTCGGCAAGGGCTGTCGGCTGCCGCGAACCACAGAAACTGCCCTCGCACGAGCGATTGCCCCTCTCAGCTCCTCCTGTAACCGTGTTTCTCTCTTCTCCTTGACTCGACATCCGCACCCCTCGTCCTACTGCCACCCGTCCTTAGCTTTCCTCCTAGGCAGGCTCCACGCGCTCTCGCCCTCACCAGACTCTCACCCTTTTCAACCACTGCACTTCCATCCACAGACGTACAAATCCCTTGAGCTGCTGCAAGTTCGGTACAAACCAACGGCCCTGTCCAGGTTTTTTCGGGGAACCTCGGCGTTAGAAGCGGTCACACTGGTGCTGAGGCTGAGTACTAATAAAATAAACCAGCCCGTGAAGTGTTGCGGAGGGGCTGAGCAGCGTACAAATGCTGTTGGTTCGTTAGTTCTCTGGCTTGACCCTAAATGCAAAGAAGAGGAGATGCTGGGTAAAGCTTTTGTCGGGGCTGTCTAGGCTAGGATTCGGGGTACAGCACAGTACCCCTTAAAATCGCAGCCTTCAGAAAGCTTTGGTGACTACTGAAGTACGCAGGTAACAGGTGAGGTGCTTGTCCTAGAACCCAAAAAAAGCTGATCGGTAATGAGAACTCAACATTCACTGGCAACGAACGAAACACCCAAAACCCTGACGCGGGACAGTCACTGTGGGGTTGGAGCAGTGACAGCGGCACCTCTCGACACGGAACACGGGAAAGCTCCTGCCACGGCCTGGAGTGGAAACACCGCCTGGGACAAGAGCTGGCGCCACACCACAGGCCGGGGAGGGAGCGCTCTCCTCATCGGGGCCGTCACGTAAAAACGATCCTCAGTTACAAACCGCAGATCTTGGAAATCGTGGATGCTGTCCGTCCAACAAGAGAAAGCACCATTAAAACTAAATACCATAGTTTTATTTCTCCGTGTGAAATGATCCAAAACGATGGCTCCAGTGTATGGTTGAAGTTTCCAGTTACCAGCGCGGCATTGCACTCCTGCAGAACCAAATTCAGGCAAGGGTTCGCTGCCTGGGTTTTATTCGTGGGTAGAGCTGTGAGAACAGAAGAAAAGTGTTACGCTTTGCACGAGTGATACCGAATTAAATCGAGATCAATTCAATTGTAACCAAGGGATGCTCATTAACAAGACCTCAGTGACGGAGCGGGACCGTCCTGGCTAAAGCTGTCAGCTGCAAGGCTCTGCCTGGTTTAGATGTGTCTGTACCCAGGTAGTGCTTATCTTGTGCTGGGTACTGAAATAAAACTTGCTGAAGAACTGCTGGGCCAAAGCTGTGAGCTGCCTCATAGAGCCACCACTTTAGAGGGGGCCCTATACTTTAACCAAAGGGGAAGAAAAAAATCTTATGAAAGCATAAATATATATATATATAA